GACGGGGTTTCACCATGTTGACCAGGATGGTCTCGATCTCTTGACCTCATGATCCACCCGCCTTGGCCTCCCACAGTGCTGGGATTACAGGCTTGAGCCACCGCGCCCGGCCTACTTTTTGTTTTTCTTTAAACTGTTGTTTAAATGTGTAAGGTTATGGGGTTAACAGTGCCAGGATAGGGGAGGGTGCTGTCTTTGCATGCTTCATAATTTTCTGCCAAGTATCTTGTTCCTTCCCCTGGAGACTACATCCCATTCTGTTGCACAGGATAAACAAAAAACAAATGATTGGCTGGGCGCAGTGGCGCATGGCCTGTAATCCCAACATTTTGGGAGGCCAAGGCGGGTGGATCCGTTGAGGTAAGGAGTTTGAGACCAGCCTGGTCAAGATGGTGAAACTCTGTCTAAAAGCCAGGCATGGTGGTGGGCACCTATAATCGCAGCTCGTTCCTCAGGAGGCTGAGGCGGGAGAATCACTTGAACCGAGGAGGTGGAGGTTGCAGTGAACCAAGATTGCACCACTGCACTCCAGCCTGGGCAACAGAGTGAGACTCTGTCTCAAAAAAAAGATTTATCTAGATGAGTTATTCTAGAAAACCACTGAACCAGCCTTAACTTGTAACTTGTATATGGAAGCAGGATTTTTGCTTATTATGGTTTCTGTAATAACTGCATGACCATCTGGGATTGTCTGGTCCCCGAAGTTTTGGTTGACTGAAACCAGATTAGTTATTTTTCCTAGACTTACTTTTCAGCAAATTAGTATAGAAATATAAAAAAGAGAGTTCTAGAATATTAGAGTTTCATTTTCATTTAGATATGCTATATATAACTGACTTGTCAGTCTTTGTCAAGTTTAGAAACAATGTTACTTGAAAATGGAAAGATGGAAAACGGTAGGTAGGTGCAATACTCCGTCCACATGAGTGAACGTGGACGAACTCTTACATAGAAAGAGCCGCTTACTTACTTACAGCATAAATTTATATAGAGAATTTTTTGTTTTTTTTTTGAGACAGAGTTTTTTGCTATTGTTGCCCAGTCTGGAGTGCAATGGTGCGATCTCGGCTCACCGCAACCTCCACCTCCTGGGTTTAAGCAATTCTCCTGCCTCAGCCTCCTGAGTAGCTAGGATTACAGGCATGTACCACCACGACTGGCTAATTTTGTATTTTTAGTAGAGACGGGGTTTCCCCATGTTGGTCAGGCTGGTCTTGAACTCCCAACCTCAGGTGATCCCCTCCACCATGGTGTCCCAAAGTGCTGGGATTATAGGCGTGAGCCACCGCACCCGGCCTACATAGAGGGTTTTTTAACTTGACTTTGAAATGTGGACTTTGTTGACAGGTCAAAGAAATTCATTGATCCTATTTATCAGATATGGGAAGACATGAGTGCTGAAGAGCTGCAGGAGTTCAAGAAACCCATTAAAAAGGTAAGTTTGTGATTCAGCACACTTTCTTGGAATCCCCTCTCTGGTTCCGGGTCACAATCAAATAGTAAGCAGCAAGTTGCTCATGCATGTAGTCCCCACACTTTAGAGGGTCAAGGGCAGAGGATTGCTTGAGCCCAGGAGTTTGAGACCAGCCTAGGCAACATAGACTAATTTTAAGACAAAAATTTTAACATTAGCTGGGCTTAGTGGTGCACACCTGTAGTTCCAGCTTCTCTGGAGGCTAAGGTGGGGAGGTCAAGGCTGCGGTGGGCTGTAAACGCAGCACAGCACTCCAACCTGGGCAACAGAGCAAGACCCTGTCTTCTTTCAAAAAGCACACCAAGGCCGGGCGCTGTGGCTCACGCCTGTAATTCCAGCACTTTGGGAGGCTGAGATGGGTGGATCGCCTGAGGTCAGACGTTTGAGACCAGCCTGGCCAACACAGTGAAACCCTGTCTCTAGGAAAAATACAAAAAATTAGCTGGGCATGGTGGTGGGCGCATACTTGGGAGCCTCAGCTACTTGGGAGCCTGAGGCAGGAGAATTGCTTGAACCCGGGAGGTGGCGATTGCAGTGAGCTGAGATCGCGCCACTGCACTCCAACCTGGGTGACAGAGCGAGACTGTGTCTCAAAAAGAAAAAAAAAAAGGCATACCAAAACTCTGTCTTGTTTTGTTTTTTGTTTTTTTTTG